CGGGACCAGATCAGAGTTCATGTCGTGATCTGGTTCCCCCTCTTTCTGTCCTAATTCAAGTCAGAAGAAGAAAATCGTACAGATTCACTTGTTGTGTATGTTGTATTCAAGGCTTCAAAAAAGTAGGAGCACTGCTCTCGAGTAAATCAGACAGCACCCTCGGATAAGCAAATCAGCGCTTTCTACGAATATGCAATATGTAGCAAATACGAAAAAAATAGAAATAATGCCTTGAAACGCGAATTATCGAAAACGGCAAGAACTTCCCTTGCAACCAGAAGCTACTTAATGATTGATCCTAAAATAGTAGTATTTATATGAAGCTCGACTGTTCCAACGGTTGCACTTGCGCATTTTCATTTCCTATCACTTTTGTTGTTTAGGATACAAAAGTTGAAGAACGACAAGGAGACATTAGCTCAGAAGTATGAGCAAGAAGAAGAATTCCTTACGAACGATTTGATGAGAAAAATCAAGCAGGTTTGCGAATTTGAAAGCTTGAGGGGAGAAGTGGCAGGGGACTAGAGGCTATTACGATTTTTTTTAGTTTTTGGGTTACACAAAATAGCGCTGACCGTCAGAATAGCCCTAATTTCCATACCCAAATCAAATGTTATAGTCTAAATCAGACTTGCAGGAAAGAAATCTTGCAGTTTAATGTTTTCATCATTTTCGGAGATACCCGAAAGTCGCGAATCTTCGTGTGGGTGCCAGGCTCCGCGTTTGCTATCGCGGTTGTACTTTTCCTTGTTGATTCGGTTACCACGCTCACGAAATTACTCTCAAATTCGCGTGTTCCGCCACTTTTTCATGCTCTTGTATCGCCACAATGACCTTTCCCAGTGCGAAACCTACCATACGGGTCAATAAGGCAGATTCCTACCGCGACAGCAGACGCTGAGTCTGACACCTGCCTTTCCCTAAGCCAAAGCTGGATAGCTGCTGTGTAGGATATTGGTTCCCTCCGAATGAAACGCGCTAACTCGCGGCCTGCTTATTTGTTAGGTTGCTTGAGTGATAATTAAGAAAAATCTAAATAATGATGGAATTTAGGTTGAAATTTAGTAAAAAACTAGATTGGGTTTTTTCTCGCTCTTTCGAACTGAACATGTCTCCAACTGCCACTCTTATCTTATACTGTAAAACTACCTTCGTTTTCTCATAATCACTCTGCAGAATCCTGCGCGGCTAGGGGCTACGATCAAGTCGATATCCTCGACGCTGTCCCTGGTACTACCGATTTTCGGTGCCATACAGGTGTGGTTTCTGGTGTAGTGATTTGAGAGTAGGCATAGTCAGTGTCAGATTTGTTGGAATTCTTACATAATTAGCATTTGCGAGACCTATCGCGACTTGGGGGGCAACATCTGTTCATTACAATAGAAAACGAATTTCTGAATAAATACAATAAATTCCTAAATAACTAATTTTTGAACGCAGTCTGTAGGGTACGTCTCTCTCTCAGAGGACCAATGCTCTGATTTTTCAAATGCAAAGAATCTTCCTGTGCTTCTGATTTGTCTGTCTTTCTCCGCTCCTAAAGCTATACGGGGGCTATCGCAGGATGCGGGGAGGGAGCACAATCGCAAGGTACTGCATTGTGATAGCAATCCATTTGATGTCGCGTAAAACATCTTACAAAGCCTTAAGATTTGCTTCTAAAGGATAGTGGGCATTGTGGTGGAAATGTCATGTCAACGGGCACAGTAATTGTCGGCTTGATGGCGACCTTGCAACAGAAAATCTGAAGGCTTTTTCGAAATTGTGCAAGACACTGTGGCTGATTAGGAGCTCTCTTCTTGAAGAGGAATCTCTGAAGATGCTCCGTATCTTGTCAGGCGCTGCGATACATAGTATCTCATAATTTTGCGTGTATGCTAATTTGAGAATTGTCTGATTAACGTTATTGGTCTCCCTCTGTTGTAGTTACAATCCGAACGCGATGTGTTGGAGGGAAATGTGAAAAGTGAGCAAGCCAGTGTGATCGACAGCCTTCTGACGACAATTCGTCGCATGGAAAGTGAAATGGCTGCCGGGCGGAAGGTGAGCTGCTTTCCAAGTTTGTCCTAGCAGTGTAGCCTACTGACGTGTAGTAAGCAAACGTGTGAAAACAAATGTGTAACAACTATCCCAGTGTTCACATATTTCTTATTTTCCCACGTTTCCCCTCCTTTTACTATCCATATTATAATATTTATAATAACTTATTCCTCTTCGTAACCATTTTTAGAACATGGATCGTATGCGCAAGGAGAAAATCGATCAGGAGAACGCTCTGGAACACGAACAGGAGCTTTTATTCAACACCCTCGGAAAGCAAATGGATCAGTTGAATCAAGAGAAAAGGTGAGTTTCCTTCTCCTAGAAGTACCGACTCTCCCTCCAAATCAAATTTTGTAGAAAAATTAGTGCTACGTATAATTTAGAAAGATGCAAGCGAGCCTCCAAAAGGCATACTTGAATGGTTTCATAGAGCCTGATGATGAAGTTGTTGGTTCCCTGATCAACCAAAGGTACACATTCTTCGATTTCTCTTTTCTCTCCTTTCCAGTTCATATGTTTCACATTTGAAATAATTCTTGTCGTTTCTGGGGAAATTTTTATTTATCTCGTAATTTAACAATAATACGTTGTAATCTGATATCCGGCTCCCCCACTTTCTTCACGATTTGGGGCGCGGCCGCGGCGAGCGCGGCCGAGTCGATAGTGCCCGCGAACTGTGCGGGTAAATTTGAAAACGCTTCACCACCACAGTTCGCGGGCACTGTGGACTCGTCCGCGCTCGCCGCGGCCGCGCCCCAAATCGTGAAGAAAGTGGGGGAGCCCTGGGGCGGTATTCAATCCTTCCCCCAGGGGGATATATCCCCCTACTCTGATTCAATCCTCTGGGGGGGGGGGGACAAAAAAAGGGTTGCGTCATAGGACCTCGCATACCTCTGTGTTTCTACCTGCCAGACAGTTAGCAGGCGGCAATAAACGGCTAGAGCAGCACGACCCCTCAGGGGAAAGAGTGCTTCATCAGTGGAGGGTAGTAGCGCTGCTCTAACTGTCTGGCAGGTAGAAACACAGAGGTATGCTAGGTCCTATGACGCAACCCTTTTTTGTCCCCCCAGAGGATTGAATCAGAGGAGGGGGATATATCCCCCTGGGGGAAGGATTGAATACCGCCCCTGATAACCAACTCACATTTACAACAAATGGTTGGTCTCATGACCTTATACAGACAGACAAGCACTAAAACCGCATTAGTATTTTTATCACAACCCAATTTTGCAACTCGATCTCACATTCCAGCTGTGAACCAATTTTTTTTTCGGGAGCTTTGCGAAGCGATGCCTTTTTTGCACGGCTTCTGCTGGTTGTTTGAGAAGGCGCACTATATTTCCTAGCCTCTCTTTCCGTCCAACTACTTCCTATTATGTCTGTACATTTAATAGTGTAGCAAATTACATGGTGCCATTCAGCATAAAGGCAACTAAATATTATGCAGTATTGATACATTAGCCGTAATATGCTCAGGGACAGCTATACAGCTGCAAGCACGAGACATTGAGCAGAAACGAAGTGTAAGTGAAGAGCGTGTGTTTTTAGAGTAAAGAAATGTCGCGCGTGTGTGAGTATAGGAACTGCTCCAATTAGTAGTAAATTGGATTGTGAAAGTGCTGCTTTTGCATCATCTACGACACTGTAAAGCATTGAAGGAAGCGATTACGATAAGGGAGGGCCGCATCGGGAAGCATATGCACCACACGAAGCAGTTACTTGGCTGCCAAGGAAGCGAAGTGTGGCGCTTTCACGACGAAAGGTGCCCTGGTTGCTGAGCAGGACTTCCGAAGCACTCCGCCCCGAAAGCGTTACGCCCACTAGTTCAGTTGATGACTTGGGCGAGCTGTTTGCTGTTGGCTTTTCATTTTGGAAGATCATTTCCCTTTCTAGCGGCTGTATCTTCCAACTTGCCCATGTATGCCTTATCAATCAAAACACTATGCTTGTTGGCATGATGGCGGCTATCGGGGTTAACACGTCCGAACAACTTCTTTCCTTGCTCATTCGTGATCGAAAATGAACGGCCAATTGTGGGTGGGGTACTACTCTGCCACTGACGCGTGCCATTGAGCACCTCTACGTTCCTCCATCACCTGTACTTTTTACCTTGTTATATTCCCTTATACTAGGTTGAGCAATAATTATCCGCCGTTTTCATTTCACTCATAAGTTTTTAACAAAACCAAACAAAAACAACAATAAATGCGTAATCAACAAACGCTCTCGAACAGTCTCTGCAACCGTGCCTTCATCCCAGGCTTCATTGATTCTACGAGCAGATGCAGAAGCATTCGTTTCGAGCTCAACTTGCAGCATGAGCAATCTTTTTTGCTCACGTGTAAGCTCCAGAGTGAAGCAAATACACAAGTGTTGTACATCAAAATGTACAAGAGATTGCGCGCTTTCAGACTACATCATAATCTTTGAAAATAATCAGCAAAAATCAAAGAGCATGAGCCTGAAAAAAAATGGCGGATAATTATTGCTCAACCTACAGTCGATATCCGAAAGTTGGGGTAGGTGTGTCACCGGAAGTGACGTGCACTTGATAGAAGTTGCGTGGATAAGCTGTTGCCAGCATGCTTTGCTGATATCCAGCGATGTATGTTGGAAGCAGCTTATCCACATAGCTTCTATCAAGTGCACGTCACTTCCGGTGACACGCCTACCCCAACTCTCCGATATCGAGTATAAGACTTCGATTTCTGTAATTACAGCATGTCTCATTTGTAAAGCTCCGAAGGATGTACGTTGTACTTTTATGATAGTCTGTGATGTTCCAGTGAAAACAACGAGCGAGGACCGATGGATAGTGCAAGTCGAAGCGGTTCCGAAGTTGCTAGGTTACGTTCTCATCTCAGACGTGTGGAGCATCAGTTGGCTGAAGTGCGAGAGAGGGAGTCAAACAGTAAGTTCGATATTAAGCGTTTTATTACTTTCTGATTCAATTTCTATCTTTTTCTCTTTATACCTTTTCTTTATTTCATTTTTGCCTTCGTTATCCGTACATGTAAGGTGTCTTTTCGATCGTCATTATTTCAGAAGCAGCTCAAATACGTCAACTCGAAGACGTTATCAGCACCTTGCGCAAGGAGAAAAACGAAATGTCGCGGTGCGTTTTTCGTGTGTTTTTTCATTATTTTTGCTTACCGCTCCGTATTCTTGTTTTCTCCGAACACTCTGTTGTAATGAATGCGAAATGTCCGAAAATGTGGAGCACAATTTGCGCTCTTGATCTTATGATAAACATTCAGAGGGTAATACAGTGCGTTTCATAACTATAAGGTCACCCTAAAATATTGCATTTCCGGGACCAGCAGCCAACTGGTGATTTTTCCACTATCACCAAATGATTCCCCACTACGAATAACCCCTGTATCGCAATTTTGGTGGGAGCAGCTTTTCTTCGAACTTTTTTGTAATTATTTTTCGATTTTTGCACCGTTTCATAATATAAGGTCACCCTGTGAAAATGAATACTACATTATCGGAAACAACCAACCTGCCTGTGAAATTGAATGTTTGTTACAAACACACCCAGTAGCTAAATTTATGGAATGTTTCGTACTCGCCTTTTGAAGAAAAGGTAAAGTTTATGCATTTCATGGTGCTTGGCACGGTTCGCGAGTCTTTCCAAAGCACTTCGGACAGTCATTAGCACTGCTCATGGATAATTGAAAAGCTCCTACGTCTCCAGATATTCTACAATATCAGAACATCCACAAAATGGTTTCTATAAATGATTAGAGAAGAGTTATGAGGGCTGTCCCGTGCAGTATTTCCGCTTCAAATCGGCGTCGTGCCTGATTTAAGGTTTCTATCTTGAAAAATATGAACTGGAGTGCGGTGAAATTATGCAACAACATTACCAGGAAAGCAACAAAGATGGTCCGAAGGCTCAGCCATTGCAAAGTGGCACAACTTCAACCCGTAAAGTTGAACTTGAAGAGAGTTTGAACAAGGTTGAGTCTGCTCCACAGTCGCACCATATAGCAAGATAATTCCAGTAAAGTTGGTATTTTTTGGACAAAACTGGTTTATACAAACAGATCCTGCGAATATAAACACTTTTGAAGTGACTTGCGAAGGTGGCCGATTCACTTCAGCGCTTGCAATTTTAGTTAAGGAAATGTGAAAGGTGTGGGTGCTTTTTGTGATGATGTTGTGTCAAAATTTCGCTTCCATAAACTGCATAATGGACTCCAAAGATTAGCATAGAGCCTTGCGAGGACATCTGACCTCTCCCTTGAGCTGATGAAGTCGGCTAGCCTACGTAGTCATACAGAACAGCACAGGTACCCATGTAGGTCATTCAACCAGAAGCAGCATTTCTCTCGAAACCCTGATGAACTGAACAAATTTTTCTGAATTTCTAGTCGTGTTCTAGTAGAACATCTCAGGGGCATCTTCGTCATGAGTAATAGTGCGGATAAACGCCAGTTAAAAATTACACAAGAGCGTGTACAAGCAACCCTTGAACACGGAAGTGAATCGATGGTGATCTGCCTTGGAATCTCAATTCCGGTAGGCCACGGAGACTATTCGATGTTGCCCTTGATAAAGGAGGAACCATACATTATTATGTCTATTTTATCTGTCATTAATCTTAGGTAATTGTTCTTTTTCTCAGGGTGACCTTATATTATGAAACGGTGCAAAAATCGAAAAATAATTACAAAAAAAAGTTCGAAGAAAAGCTGCTCCCACCAAAATTGCGATACAGGGGTTATTCGTAGTGGGGAATCATTTGGTGATAGTGGAAAAATCACCAGTTGGCTGCTGGTCCCGGAAATGCAATATTTTAGGGTGACCTTATAGTTATGAAACGCACTGTATAGTGTTCCGGTCGTCCTGCACTTTGATATTGTTGAAATGACTGGTTACTCATACAGACCTTTTCTATTTTTAGGAGTTTTTCTTGGATTTTTTTTCAAGGCTCAGCTTTCATCACAACTAAACGTACAATGCTTTACAGAAATATCGAAGTAGCTGTATCGAGATTCTCGACGAAAATGGATTCAATGACATCACTCATACGACCTGACTTGATGGGGCCACCTTGTGTTCCTCAACATTCGTCTTCTCGTCACGCTGATGGCAATGGTGTGTTAATTGCCTCATTGGTTGTTTTTATTTTTCCACAAAGTGATAAAACACTACTGTTTTAGATGTTGTAGGGTTTGGTGACAAGCAATTCCCATTTTTGAAACTGATTTTTAAGATTCTATAATTCTTTGCAACGTTTTATGGCACTTGTTCAGTTTAATGATTACCATAGCTATATATGTGCAGCTGTACTCCAATTGTTCGCAAGCGAATTTCTCTCTCTCCCTCCGTCTCTCTCTCTCTCTCTCTCTCTCTCTCTGAATTGTCTGTCCTCGATGGAATTGCTGATTGCGATCCATTTCTAACTGTTCTCGATCAGTGTAGCTTCTTCTTTTAAAAGGATGGGGAATATCCACAATGTCAAGGGCCTATATTGTTTCAGGCTGAATTCGTGAGTACACGTGGTGACATTTTGTGGAAAAGATCTCTATTGTAGGAAGCTTCTGCTAAATCAGCAAAGTGTACGCAGCTGCAAGCGATCGAATTCAGATTTTGTTTGATGCCACATTAAGAAGATATTTATGGTGCTGCACTCAACTAAAGAAAAACAAGAGTTGTGGATGGAGGTTGCTTTTTGATGCTCGCTTACCCATTGACGCCTCCGCCTTGT